AATCATCTTGTCTATTGCCTGTCTGTTTCACCAGAATGCAAGCTCCATCAGACTTGGGTTTTCATGTTTCATTTATTGATGTATCCTGACATCACAGCACATAGTAAATGCTTAATACATTGGGACTAAATAGGTGTAACAGTATGTGTAATAACAAGACCAAAGACATCTCTAAGTCTGGCTCTTGGGTAGAATTTATCTACCCAACAAAGGGGTAGAGGTAGGACCCCGGACAACTCCGTTTCCCAAGGAAATCCTTTCTGGAGGGGTAGGGGAAGCTTGGTCCTTCCCATCATTAGCAGAGTAAAGCCCCTACCACTCATGTAGGAAAAATCCCTACAACTCTACCCCTGGGGATAATCAACAGGCAAAGGACAACACACTTACTGTTCCCTGTGAGATAATTAATGAAAAGCGAGCCTCTGGTCAGAACATCTCAGTTCTGGAAAAAAAAAAAAAATATTCAGAATAAAGTTAATAAAGACGAAAATTTTAATCCACTTAAGGTTGTGAGAAAAAGTCTGATAGCTCAGGATTTCCCGGGGAAACAAGAGATGCGGATGTTTTGAAAAGATGGGGAAGGAGGTGTGTAGGGAGCCAGAAGTCAGAGTAGAGTGAAGGAGGTTTAAAATATTGATAACACAAAGAGCATTAGAGCAGGCCAACCAAACAAACACAGTGGGACTATGGGCTGCATGGGGGCCCTACAGGCACATGGCAGATGACCAAGAAACATCAGTTTGTGGACTGAGTCAAAGAATAAATGAGTGAGCAAGTGAAAAGAGCAAACAAATGAGTGGGTGAACAAGGAGGAGCAAGCAATGGGAGAATGAATTCAGGAGAAAAAGAGTGAGTGAGTGGGTGATGTCCCCACTGTGTACTCTGGTATCAATCTTCTTTCTTACATTTCTTAGCTGCTCATATGTTGGTTCATTTAGGGTTGTGAATCTGCCATTTGAGTGTGTTTTTTTAAGAAAAAGACTGCGATGGACTTTAGGGTATTGGCAAGAGTGTTACTGAAACAATGGACCATGAAATATAAGCTGGACAAAAGAAGACATGAAAAAAAGATGGTTGACAGGATAGAAAAAAATAAACAGTTGAGGTGGTAGTCAGGAAATCTGGAAGATGGAAAGATTATGCTTAAGGACGGAGATGCCCGAATTCATGGTTTTAGACCATGGGAGTGGGTGGCTGAGACAAAGAGGAGGAGAGGAGGGAAGAAGAGCCTAGGAACAAAGAGGACAGTATCAAGGCCAGAGGCTCTAAGTCCCACAGGTGGACACTGAAACCACCAGGCAACAGCAGGGATTGGGGTGGAGAAAATGACTGTGATTCTCTGCAGACTCTAAAATCTGGTGAGCATGACTATGCAGGAGGTGACTGTGCAGAACAGGATCTGAGCTAGAAAAGGGGAACTTCACTCTTCATGTTCTATGCTTCAGGACTGCATAAATTTTTTGTTGTTGTTCATTCATAATGAGCATATGCTCCTTTATAATTAACAAAACCCACAAATCTGGAGGAGAGATAATATTAAAGTCAGAGACAAGAGTTTAAAATACAGGAAAATCATTAATTTAAGAAGCATTAACAACAAATATTGCTTGAAATAGTTAGTGCTGAATCTGATACTGAAACTAATTTTCTTTTTCTTCCCAGTCACTGAATGAAAGACTATAAGGAAGGCCATCTGGATTTTTACTGAAAACTGTAACAATATTCTAAAGATCCTAAGGGGAAAATGTCACTGTGCTAACAAGGATTTTACTGAAATAAATGGATACAGGATGTCTCCTCACCTAGGTACGGTGACTTTTTATTTCAAGGGCCAGAAGGATCCCCTGAATTCTCTAACCCTCATGGTAACCAGAGACAATTTTCACATTCTTATAAAAGAACCAAATTGCAGCTTTTATCTTGTTTCCTTGGGGGATGTACAATTTAAAAATGCTTTTTATAGAATTCCATTATCTTGGGATATCCCGGGAACTATCAGAGTTGAAGATAATTTTGGTAAAGCCTTAAATTTATTATGGCTCCCATTGCTAAGCCCACTGAGAACCAAATTACCAAAATAAATTTTAACACATTCAAATTTGATAGAAAATATTATGTTTTATGAGGTATAAAAAGAACACAATAAAAAAAATTTAGTAAATTCAATGCAAAAGAAAGTCCCCAGAAGCATCTCTGTCAAGACTGAGCTGAATGTGTTACGTTTGACTACGTACTCCATTGTCAAATGTCAACTTCACAAAAGACAAGGAGCAACTGCTTACATATCCTTTACAGTGCCTATAGTTACACTGAAATAACTATAGGCAATTAAAGTGCCCATAATAACACCAAAATCTGATGGAAAAAGTTAGAAATTCTTAAAGATATGTAGTAGACAGCCTTCTTCAATATATTTCCTTTATGGAAATTATACAATTTCTGTCATCAGACATAAAACTGAGTGGCAGCAACACTATGCTGGAGAGAAGACCCAGCCAGATTATTTACTTACACCATTTCCCCAGCTGAACCCTCAGAGTTCTTCTCAGGGACAATCTTTTGGCTTGTCCACTCAATCTGTCACTCACTCTTTTACTGATCCTGACCCTCTGTCCAGCTGTACAGACATTACCATAGGCAGCACTCAACATTTCTCACCTGTCTACTGAAACCCTTAGCTAGCTGTCCTCTCTTCAATCTGGACCCCACCCAACCTACCTTCTATTCTGAATCAACAGCCTAATAAAAGGCTTCCTAAGGTCGAGTTCAAGATGAATTCTCTGTCCATCAAACTATACTTAAACTTCAGAAATATCATGAATGTTGCTTGAAAGAGCAGCTTAATCAAGGATTCAGAGTATGAACTGGCAGGCTGCCCCCAGATCAACTATGTTGAATTGCTTAATTTCTTACCTATGTTCTCTAAACTTTTAATAATAAAAAGAGTTGAAAAGTAAGCAGACGGATACTAAAGGCCTTCTGTTTTCACGCGCATTCACAAAAAAGAAAATTAACAAAGTTATATAGAATCTTGATTACCTAAATTATTTTTACTACAGTTCTTTTTCTAAGTTTAGAAAGCCCACCTTAAATCAAAGAATTGTGAGTATTATGTTTCTCAAAGACAGGTGGCAAAAAGAGAAGGCCATTTATATAGTGATTTAAAATGGTGGTTACATATCATCTCATCTTTTTAAAATCAATTTTTGGTAAAAAGTTAATGGCTTTTCCTTCCAGAGAAAGGATATTAAACATCTGCTGCTGTTTCAGGTCACCAACAGCCTCTACCACAGGTTTGAATTTGCATTTTGGCAGGAACCGACACAAGTCAAAGTAAGATAAACAAAATAGCAGAGTAGGAAAGAGGGGGTCCCAGTACTGCAAAGCAACTAGGTGGGGTAAAGGGGTGGTGCTGACTAATTCTGACGCACTGTGCTCCACAGGGTTGCCCACATAAAACCGTTTTGCGCAGGGATGCTTGTATTAGCAGCCACTGGTTCAAAGCGGTGGACGTACGGGTTAAGTTTGGGGGAAGGGAAAAGAGAGACAGGGAGCTAAGAAAAAAAATTTCTACTGTATTTTCTAGTTCTATGTGTGCAGAGAAAAAATAATAATTCTCGGACATTTAAAATGTGTTTGAGATGATGGGAAAAAAAATATATAAGGAAAAAAAACAAATTCACATAAATTCCTTACTGCAGATGCAGCATAACACCGTACTTCAACCATTACAGCTTTTTAAAACTGTAACATATTTCCCTATCCTAAAATGTTAGGCGTCTCACATTTACTCCCAATAGTCACCACATTTAATAGTGACGACTATTGGGAGTAAATGTGAGACGCCTAACATTTCTAGATATGGCCAATCACCTTTAAATGTAAAAAATTTGCTATAAAAATTATAATAATGAACTAGCAAATGCATAATGTATAACATTATCCAATATCAACAGCATAATTATAAGCCTTCAATACGTTTTACAGCCATCAACATTAAATAAATCTTAGAGTGGCAAAGAACTGCCACAATATAAGTTTAACAATTATTATGAGTTATCCTCACTATAACTAAAAATAGAAAATTAATTTCTGCTTCAAAGACTGCAAAAATCAGTCTCTGGTCTAAAGTTACTAAACTTCTGTCAGAAAAACATATGGCCCATCAAACACACAGTTGATAATTACACAAATGTAAAATGATATACAATAAATGACTAGACCCATGCCATTCCAGAGGCTACCTCAAGACCTTCCTAGCCCTCCAAATTCTCAAACACCACTGTGGTAGACACTACAGTCATGATACAATAGCCACCTTCCCTGCTTCTGTACTCATGCAGTCTCTGGTTTTTATCTAGACACATGGCTAACCCCTAGCCTCCCTTGCACTAGGTGCTCTAGCCAGCAAGGTGTGGGCAACGTGATGCATGTTAACTTTTGGGCTGTGCCACCGAAGCACAGGTTGTGTCTCACCAACCCCACCTACCCGTCAGCCTGGAGCGCAAAAGTGGCAGCTAATACACCCTTTTGGGCCGTACAGATAAGGCTACCCTCTCAGGATGGCAGAGCAACAAGACTGTGCTTGGCCCCTTGACAATTTTATGAGCAAACTCATCATGCCAACTCAGGCTTTCAAGGGAAAAAATCTGATTTGTCTTGTATAAGCCACTATCACTACATCTCTGACATATGCCACCAAACCTGTGTATTTTAATTTCTTCAGGTTCCTCAGCTATAATGTGGGGTTAATAATAATACCTCTCTCTCAGATTACTGTGAGGATTAAATGTTGTAAATTAAAAAAAGAAAAAAGCATCTATGTATGGATATTAGGCAATCTACTAGCCTCATTTTTCAGTTAAATAAATTGTTTCTTCACACCAGCCTTCTGGGTGGGCAAGTCTCAAAAGTTATGGACCTTTGCAGGGACTTCAAAAATAGATAAGGCCATATATGTAAACTGGCAAATGACATGGTTCTGCTCAGCTGTAACTTACATGCTGTGACTGATGTTACAATGGTTATTCTCTCTTTCAAGTTTCTGACTACAGGATTCACATCTCTTCCAGCCATCTTCTGTTTTAATCCAACTCCATCCAGGAGATCTCCAGTCCTGACCCAAAAATGGCATAGTTCTCCTATTAAAAAGTTAATTTATGTTAAAAAGCATATATAATTCATAAAAGTTTCTTTTCACTTAGAACATTTATTCATTAATTTTAAATACTAAAGTTCTTAACATTTAAAAGTCTGCTCATTACTTCAATGTTGGCTGGACATTAGTGATAAATAGCAACAATAACATAGTACTTTGGTTGCACTAAAGTAATAAAGTGGAGTTAGTACAGGTGGTATTACTGGCCCAGTACTGCATATGTCATGAAAGGTTTGCCAGAGGTGACATCCAAGCTCATACCTGAAAAACAAGCAGGAGTCAGGGAGCGTGGAATAGGGAATATTATCCCAAACAAGTATTCTCTCTTTGCCAGAAGTTAGGAGATACCAAAAATGAAATGTATTCATGTTCAGCAACTCTAAGTAGTTCAATTTGGTTGAAGCTTAGAACAGATGAGAGGGAGTGGGCCAGAATTAAGGATAGAGAAGTCATTTAAGGCCAGATCAGGTCAGAGGAGCTAGAGGTTATTCTGAGGGAAATGAGGGGTCAAACAAAGGATGTAAGCTGGTAAGTAACTCAGATTTGTGGTTTACAAAGAACTGTGTATCACACTGGGAGAACAGATTGGGTGAGGGTCACCTGGAAGAAAGGAGTGAAAAATCAAGAGAGCCAAGAAAAAAACCCTAAGAAATATCGCCATTTAAGGGACCAGCAGATGAAGATGAGCCAAGAAGGAAAACTGAAAAGGAAGTGCCAAAGAGGTAGAAGGAGAAGTAGGAAGTCAGGAGAAACATGTATTTCAAGAAAGAAAGAATCAATAAAGACTAAAATGTTATAAAAAAGCCAAGCATGGCAAGAGTTGAAAATATACATTGAATTTAGCTACAGAAAGGTAGCTGAATTACTCAAGCAAGAGTGGTTTCTGTAATGTGTTACTCTAATTTCATGTCCAAAACAGACTTAAAAGAGTATTTCATAATGTAGAATATTTTTATCATAGAGAACAATGTAAAATATTTACATCATGGAGAATAAATGAGAGATGAACATCTCCAAATACCGCCTTCCAACGATATTTAGTATAATTAACAAAAATCAAGCTATTAAATGGGCACTTACACACTCCTAGAAGAGCCAAAAAAAAAAAAAAAAAAAAGGTAAGGAAATTACACTGACTTCAACAATATTCCTGGATCAACCACAGATGCTTAATTCCTGATGGTGTAGGAAATGTATAATGAAATAATCTTTTCATAAAGAGAATCTGAAAACCTTGCTAAACTGACTTAGAGTCAGAACATATCTTTTTCAGTCACATAATGATTAAATTCTTGCTTTAGAAAATACTTTAAATATTCCTTAAATTTCAGCATGATTTTGATAAACCTTGTCTCATAGACCTGCTTCACAACTACTGAAAATCCTGACATGCAAAACTCACTGCCCATGTTCAGTAAATCTGGAGTTATCTAAGACTGTCTCTAATAGCATACAGCTGATTTTATGATCTTCAAGAACATTTCCACCAAAGGCGGCAGAGACCATGAAGCAGCAGGTGACTGTTAGAAGTGGCACCTTGAGTCTCATAAAACATATACAACTGAAAAATAGCTGCTAGGAACATCTCTGATAACTGTCAAATTCTCTCTCAATATCAACCTGAAATTGTGAATTCAGAAATCTATGTTTTAAAAAAGATCAAGTGGATAATCCTAAAAAACACTGCTATCAAACCAAATACAGGATTACTTCAATGATAAACATTTAAGCACCAACTAAATGTTATTATGTTAGGTGTTCCTGCCCTCAAGAGTGTGTGATTTAGCTAAGGAACTAAAAAAGAACAGCAGCAACACACACACACAAAAATTCTATATATATGTAATATAATAAAGTATGTTACATGTAGATATGTGTGTGTGCATGTATACATACATATATATATGTACAGTTTTGTAACCTGTAAAGAGAGAACAACCAAAATGAATTTGAGCAGAAAACAAATCAGCTGGGAAAGCTCCGAGGAGAAACTAGGACTTGATCTTGGCCCTAACACATGGTTAGATCTTAAAAAATATCAATCACAGGAATGGTGGGTGAGTAAGCATAAAGGTCAAAAAGTATGTGACAATTTGAGAAAAATAAGCAGAAAAGGTTGGATAAAATGGAGAAAGTTTACGGGAGGATTGGTACATAAGCTGGAAAAGTGACTAGAAGCCAAATAGAATATCAAAGGCGTTTAGACTTTATTCTGTAAGTAATTAAAAGTTTTTCAGCAATAGATCAGTATGAACAGTGTTGTTTTGGAATAATAATTTTCTAGGACTTGTAGGATAGATCAAATGAAAAACACGGAGACAGAAAAACACAACTAGGCAACAAACATTTTTACCAACAGAACTTTAACTAGATGACTGTCTAATGTATACCCTGGTATCCTCAGCTAACAAAATATTTTAAAACTTGATGAGACACAAACATTGTAATTATCTATTTAGACACTAAGCCCACTCATCATTTAATACACTTATCTTCCAGTTTCACAAACAATCCCCTTAACATTTACATAAAAAGCCTGTCTGGTGTTTCCATTAATATAACCAATTGTTTTACAACTACCTAAACTCTACAGATAAGTCATTTTAGTAACTCAGTGAGAAATGAATAGTTTGGTCTGAATTTCTTAGCTGCTAAGTTTGATTTTGTAAGAGTTGAAAGGAATGAGATGCAGCTAATGAACCATGGAAATAAAAAACAGTCCATGCCCAAGGGTTTTATCTCCAACACAGAGGAAAAGACTTGTTTCTCTGAAGATGTGTGTACTTCACAGATTTGTCATGGTATGCTCTTTGGATCACAATGAAGTTTTATCTTAAAGCATAATCTATACAGTTCATGAACTAAAGCACAAACTCTGGATTATTATTTATTTAAAAATAATAATAATAACAAAAGAAAGACAAGTTGCCATTTAAAAGGTCTGGGGTCTGGATCTCAAGTTTTCAAAAATACTCCCAATCTGAGGCATCTGAGTTTGTAGATCAGTAAACAATATTACTAAAGTTGTATAGAATGATGAAGGCCCACTGTTTTTAATGGGAATTTATTTGTTCGGCTAAAAAAAATGTGAATTGCTAGGGCTGTATACACTTATTTTAATTAAAATTATCTTTGTTCTGAGAATTTGCAAATACAAAAAAACTAGAAATTACTCCTGAAAATTAGTAAATTTTTAAGAGCAACACTCAAAGGGTATAGCTTGTATAATTTGCAAATTTTAAGCAGATTTTATGCCAACTTATTTCAGAGAGCCTACAATGATGAACTATTTTAAATTCTCCCTTAATTTCCATTTGAAGTGGTAGGACATGTGGGTGGGTTACTTCAGTAGAAAAGGATTTCATGAAGTTCACTTGCTGGTGGAAACTTTTGGCATGAGAGAATCGGAACAAAAAAAGGTCTTTCCTTCACCAAGGATATTCTTTCCTAACAATGATAATGGCCAACATTCATTAGAGCTTACTATAGTCTAGGCATTACTCTAAACAATCTATGTATATTGTCTTATTTAATCCTCACAGTGTCCCCAAAGGTAGAAAACATTATTCTTGTTTATACGTTTAATTATCTATTTTATAGATGACGACACTGAGGCAAAGAGTTTAGTGGAGCTGGGATTCAAAATGATGGAGTCTCACTCCAGGATTCATGCTCCTAACCACTATATATTTATAATAACACTTCCTGAAAACTCTGTTAAAACAGATGCCATTTAATTATAAGCTGTTTTTTAAATGTTTTTTACTGTCTATTGCATATCACTAATATGATCTCAAGTAATGATGGATCTTAATATAAAGGCACGAAGACAAGGAAAACAAGACAGAAAAGAAAACTCCAATCCATTTTAAAAAACCGCATGTGTTTCACTATTTGTTTTGCTCTTAAGTGCGGACAAATTTGATCCAGGAAGGACATGAAAAAATGGCAAACTGAGGGCCAAGAGTCAGAAATAAGATTTACTCTAAGAAGGACTGAGAAAATCACAGATTCCTCGTGGAAAAGAAAAACATGTAAAGATGAGGAGAAAACAGAATATGAAAGAGTAAACGTCTTTTCTGATTAGGGCCTGAGGGTAAGGATTTGGAGGCGGCAAGAGACAGCTTTATACGGGAAGAAACGGTTCTCCAGATTCTGTTTTCAAAATGAGTTTGAATAGGCCCAAGGACAGAGATGTAATCTGAGAAGAAGGTCAAATTGAGCTTACTGTGAGGGAAGGATGCAAAATTCCTAAGTGTCTGCTGCAAGAAAAATAAGCATGGGAAGGAGAAGCCCGAGTCAGAGCCACAGACCACGAGTGGGGAAGGAGTAAGAAGGTAAGCAGCAGATGGGGCAGAGTGGCATGGAGAAATGCGGGGTCACACCCGGGCAGGCTTCCACCAGCGAAGACGCAAGGGCCAGGCCAGAGAGCAAACGCGGGCAGGAGTCCCCGAATACCTGGTTCAGCGAGGCGGACACAAGCTCGGGCCTGCCAGAGGGGCGGGAAGAGGTCGCAGATGGTGGGCAGAGGCGGCGGCGGCGGAGACGCGGTGCACCTTTGGGCGGCCCTCCTGCCCACCTGACTCGCCCACGGCTCCCAGACCCTCTACACCCGCCTGCAGCCCCCCCGACCCCACCTGATGCGCCCACGGCTCCCAGACCCTCTACACCCGCCTGCAGCCCCCCCGACCCCACCTGACGCGCCCACGGCTCCCAGACCCTCTACACCTGCCTGCAGCCCCCCCGACCCCACCTGACGCGCCCACGGCTCCCAGACCCTCTACACCCGCCTGCAGCCCCCCCGACCCCACTTGACGCGCCAGCTGACCCCCGACCCCACCTGACGAGCCCAGGGATCGCAGTCCCCACCTGACGCGCCCACGGCTCCCAGACCCTCTACACCTGCCTGCAGCCCCCCCGACCCCACCTGACGCGCCCACGGCTCCCAGACCCTCTACACCCGCCTGCAGCCCCCCCGACCCCACCTGACGCGCCCACGGCTCCCAGACCCTCTACACCCGCCTGCAGCCCCCCCGACCCCACCTGACGCGCCCACGGCTCCCAGACCCTCTACACCCGCCTGCAGCCCCCCCGACCCCACCTGACGCGCCCACGGCTCCCAGACCCTCTACACCCGCCTGCAGCCCCCCCGACCCCACCTGACGCGCCCACGGCTCCCAGACCCTCTACACCCGCCTGCAGCCCCCCCGACCCCACCTGACGCGCCAGCTGACCCCCGACCCCACCTGACGAGCCCAGGGATCGCAGTCCACACCAGACGCGCCAGCGGCCCCCAGTCTTCACCTGACGCTCCCGCCGACCCCGTCCCCACCTGACGCGCCCGCGGCAGCCAGTACCTAACTAGCGTGCCCGGGGCCCCCAGTGCCCACCTGGCGCGCCGGTGGCCTGCGCCCGCACCTGACGGCGACGCGGCGATTATTGCCGGAAGTGGGCCGCCGCCTGTCGGCGCGCTGCGGGGAAGCCCCGCCCTTCGCCCCGCTGATTGGCCAGCGTGAATCCGCGTGGCAGTGTTGCGGCAGGGTCCCGACACTCGCAGAGTGCGCCTGCGTAGTAGGCACCGCCCCTCCATCCGCGCGAGTCTGGAGTACCGGGCGCGGAGGCGCGGGGCGGAGCTCCGGTGGACAGGAATGGGCAGAGTCGGTGCCCGCGACCTCTGCCATCGCCCGGAGATGCAGATGAGGCCCCGAGATTTAGGCTTGCGAGGCGGGTGACGACGTCGGTCCAGCTCTTCCCCGGAGGGCCTTGAGGCGTTCGCGTGTCCTGAAGACGCGCGTCCCCGAGAATGGGCGAGCCCGTGAGAGCGTGCGCGTGCCCGTGCCGGCGCCCCGCGGGTCCCACAGGAGCGTGGACGGCCCCGCCGCGCATTTCCACTCTGCGATCGTTTTTCCACCCGGCTGGGCGCCAAGCCCAGGGTGCCTGCACTCCCGGGCATCACGCGCGCTCACACTCACCATTTAGTCACAAGCACCTTCTCCGTATTATAAAGTTTCGAGTCTTGTCAGATTCTTCTAGAAGGTTGAAATTCCCTGGAGGAGCAGCGCGAGTAGTTTTTACCAATTAGGAGAAGAGAATGTGGGGCAGCACGAGGGAGGGAGGCAGGCGTGGCCGAGAAGGCCAGGTGGGTCCGGGAGCCGCAGCCCCCTGCCTCAGTTTCCTCCTAGAAACATGGAGGTGGCGGTGAACTTCACGGGGTTTCTAGAAGAACAAATGAGCGTGTGCAAAACATTTAAAACAGCGTATGGCGTCTAGCGAGCAAATACGAGTATTAGTCTCTTCCTTGTTAAAATGTGTGCATCTACATTTGGAGCACATGGCAAGAAGTGTATGGTATGGATTCATATTTTGGAAAAGTAATTTTAGGAGTTATTTCTGATGTGCCTATTATAATAGGGTTTCTTGAGGAGGTAGGCAATATTGCTTGCACATTCACAGTTTAAACACCTCTCCGTCCCTGCCTCCTTTCTTCCTTTCCATCTCTATTCCCTTCCTTCATTCCTTTCAGGGTTGCAGATTATTCCGTATTATAAATGTATCCGTTTATTCGAATGTCTCTGTGATGTCCGTGATGGGCTTTAGATGGTTTGCCGTGGTTTGCCATTATAACTAATGCCCAGTCGCTCTGTGGTTTCGTTTAACTTGTGGAGGTATATTTGCAAATGAATTCCTATGATTGGGATTGTTGTGTAAACCGAAAGTGTCTGGGGCAGATCACAATCGATTTAGAGACGTATTTTTCCAAAATTGTGGATGTGCCTGGGGAAAAAGAAACACGGGTTACAGTAGGGTTCATGGCTTTTGCGTTTTTTCAAAGAGGGTTTTCAGGACTTCAGTATGTAAAGGGAAAAGCGCCAGCAGGAGGGAAGACGGAAGAGTAGGCTGTGAGGGTTGTGGTCAAGTTCTTGTGAGGCTCTGATTAGGGTAAAGCAAATCTACGTTTCACATGTGAAAAAGGCGTGGGGGAGAGTTAGTTATACATCTATCTCATCCTCAGTAGATCTACGTTTCACATAAAGTAAGCTTTGGGGAACAAAAGGAAGGCACTGTGTGTGTGTGTGTTTTGCCAATATTGACTTTTCCCATTGGCACAGTAAGTTTGGAGGCCTGAGGTTTTATTTTTCTTTCCTTTCACAGATGGGTCAGGGTTAACTGCATATGAAGCATTGGTATAAATTGCCAAGCCAGGAGCCCACCACCACAATAGGGGACATAGTAATATTAAGTTTAGCTCAACTGGCCGGCATCCGCACAATTCCTAGTGAAAGAATTCCTGGCTGGATGGTGAGGAGGTAAACTAATTGCAGAAACTCACAAAGCAGAAAAAGGAGTCCACAGAGTAAGAGCAGGAATTCAGAGAGTAACCACGGAGAGATCCACAAAGTAACATCAGAGCCCGCAGAGTAACACTAGGACCCACGGAGTAATAGCAGGAGCACACAGAGTAAAAACAGGACCCACAGAGTAACAGCAGAGCTCACATTGTAACAACAGAACCCACAGAGTAACTGCACAATTCCTCAGTAATAGCAGATACTCACAGAATAACGACAGAAACCCGCGGAACAACATCAGGAACCCACAGAGTAACAGCAGGAGCCCACGAAGCAGCTCTGTCCAACTGAGGTCAGCATATTCAGGGTCTTGGGTCTTATCTTTATGTGTGCTTTGTACCAGGACTGAGCTTAGCTCTGTGCTTGTGAGGAGTAACCCACTAAATGCCATCTGGAATTTCACCACTGGAGGAGGGAGGAAAAAAACCCCAGAGGGGCAGGGAGAAACGCTTTTCTAAACACTTGGTGCAGCTGGAGATTGTGGAGCAGTTGCCTAGGTGGAAGGCTTGGCAGCAGGAAGTAGAGACCACGAGGGAGGTGCCTCCTTAACCACAGAGATCTTTTGGCAATCAGTTTATTGAAAAATCATGTTTTAAGGCCGGGCGCGGTGGCTCACGCCTGTAATCCCAGCACTTTGGGAGGCCAAGGCGGGTGGATCATGAGGTCAACAAATCGAGACCATCCTGGTCAACATGGTGAAACCCCGTCTCTACTAAAAATACAAAAAATTAGCTGGGCATGGTGGCGCGTGCCTGTAATCCCAGCTACTCAGGAGGCTGAGGCAGGAGAATTGCCTGAACCCAGGAGGCGGAGGTTGCGGTGAGCTGAGATAGCGCCATTGCACTCCAGCCTGGGTAACAAGAGTGAAACTCCGTCTCAAAAAAAAAAAAAAGAAAAGAAAAATCATGTTTTAAAATTGTCTTTAAAGTAAGTTGAACCTGACAGTATCTAAGGAGTTGAGGAAATTTAAGCCCATTGTCGCGGCGACCACTGTCGAGAGCCAGAGCTCATCCTGGCAGGAAGCTGGGACAGTGCTGGTGACAGTGCTCCAGGTGCCCCCACCTCATAGAGGATTAGGGTGGTGCTGAGCACAGGGGCCTCACGCTTCTCGGATACACACTGCACAGTAGTCTCCTCTCACCTTCCCAAATGCTGCACAGACAGGTATAGTCCCTGACTCTCAGGACAATGTAGACTTGGTTACCTTCGGGCACAGGGGAATCCCTTCCTTCTTCCAGTTCCTGCCACTCTGAAGCATGTGGCATATGTTTAATGTGGTCTTTACACAATATGGAAAGACCACTTCTGCTTTCTATGCAGTGATAATACTGCAATAAGGAAAAATGAACCAAGCCACCTAAACAGAACCCTACCACCTGATGTGGAACTGTAAGGGCAATGGAGCAGCGTCTTAGAGTTAATGCAGCAGCCAGGCACTGTGATGGTGCCATGGGTACACGGAGCAGGTGCCTGGTTTCCAGGAGACTGCCATCTGAACAGACCCAGAGTGGCAAATACACAGTGAGAAAATGAATGACGCCATGACTGCTGTAATTACCTACAGAATGTTTAGGGGGACTGGGAACAAAAACAGTCCCCTTACAGAGGCCAACCCTGGAAGGTGCTGGAAGGTGTACTGGCTGTGAGACTCAGAGGTCAGCAGCCAGCTATGGTGAAACCAAAGGCAGTGGTCAGTTCAGGCAAGCCAGTGTCTTTTTTATTTCAAATCCCTCAGTCGTGGGTCTCCTTACCTTTTAAATAAGGCGTTAGAATAGAATTTTGAGGCTGTTCACTCGGGCACCACACTCCTTGTGTGTGGTGTCAGAATGGGAAGGCCAACATGGAGACCGCGTGGTCATTGACGTTTGAAAGTCTGCGGTTGCCAAAAAGAACCAATCTACAGCAGGATTCATCCTGACCGCAGCCAGCAGGCAGCCCAGACCTGGTGTGCCACAGCTCCTCTTGGCTCTGGACCCATCTCAGCTGAGCCTGATAAATGCCAGCTGGTCGGCTGTAGCCCCTGAGTGGAGATTGGCTGTCCTAGCAATAGAGCAGCGTGAGGGCACAGCAGACTTGGGACCATCATCTGGATCCCTAGATGTGCAGCTTCAAGCAAGTACGTAGCCTCCTGAACCCCAGCTCTCACCTGAAAGCTGAGTTAGGCACACACAGGAAGGCAGAGGTGGGTCCAGGGCTGGACTTGTGGTTCTACCTAAACTCCCCTGCTCCGTGACCCTCCACCATCCCTGCAAAGCTCCTCACTGACCAGGCCTATCTCAAGCGTTCTCTCTTGCTCCTCACCTTCTGGGAACTTCAGGAACCCAGCATCTTTTAATAGGTTCAGGGGTACATGAGCAGTTTTGTTATATAGGTAAACTCATGTCTAAGGGGTTTGTTGTACAGGTTATTTAATCACCCAGGTACTGGTCTAGTACCCAGTAGATATTCTTTCTGATCCTCTCCCTCCTCCCACCTGCCAGCCTCAACTAGGTCCCAGTGTGTGTTGTTCTCCTCTATGTGTCCATGTTTTCTCATAATTTAGGATATTAGGATGATGGCCTAGTTCCATCTGTGTTCCTGCAGAAGACAGGATCTCGTTCTTTTTTATGGCTACGTAGTATTCCGTGGTGTACATGCACCACATTTTCTTTATCCAGTCTATCACTGATGGGCAGTAGGTTAATTCCTTGTCTTTGCTATTGTGAATAGGACTGCAGTGAACATACATGTGCATGGGTCTTTATGGTAGAACAATTTATATGCCTCTGGGTATGTACCCAGTAATGGGATTGCTGGGCCGAATGGTAATTCTGCTTTTAGCTCTTTGAGGAATCAACATACTGCTTTCCACATGGTTGAACTAATTTACACTTCTATTGACAGTGTGTGAGTGTTCCCTTTTCTCTGCAACATCACCAGCATCTGTTATTTTTTGACTTTTTAGTAATAGCTATTGTGACTGGAGATGGTATCTCATCGTGGTTTCAATTTGCATTCTCTAATGATCAGTGTTAACGAGCTTTTAAAAATGTGCTTGTTAGCCACATGTACATCTTCTTTTGAAAAGTATATGTTCATGTCCTCTGCCCACTTTTTAATGGAGATGTTTAGTTTTTTTCTTAAGTTCACTATCAATGCTGGATATAAGACCTTTGCCAGATATGTAGTTTGCAGATACTTGCACCCATTCCATAGGCTACCTGTTTTTCCTGCTGATAGTTTATTTTGCTGTACAGAAGCACTTAAGTTTAATTGGATCCCATTGGACAATTTTTGCTTTTGTTGCTGTTGGTTTCCGTGTGTTCGTCATGAAATCCGTGCCCATTCCTGTGTCCAGAATGGCATTGCCTAGGTTGTCTTTCAGGAAACCCAACGTCTTATGACTTGTTTCAGTTATTTAAATCTTAGTCCAGCCCTTCTCTCTACTATAAAAAAAAAAAAAAAAAAAATCAGTTCCCCA